GGTATTCATTCTTTTTCTGCTTTGTTTGTCAACTGGCACAGTTGCTAGGCAACAAGCTGCCAAAGGATGGACCTATTTGAATCCACAGCCAAAACAACAGAACGGACAAAACAGGATCCAGATCAGGCACAAACAGACAGGTGGCAGAATCCAGACTTCCAGGCATCCACAGGCTCCCAGGAGGGTTCAGAGTCTAACAGGGTCCAGAAGCGTGACCAGACGGTCACGCACAGGAGCAGACAGGATCAGGTGCAGACGGGCAGGCTCAGTGGCAGAGGGTAGCAGAGACAGGACGTGGAACCAGAACTTTATGCAGGACTTTAAACTGGTCTCCTCCGTGGAGCCAGGCTTACTTGGTTAAAAACTGAACCTCCCCGCATATAGAGCCAAAAACCCAGAGGACTCAGCGGGGGAGGAACAGTGGACAGACAGGAGACGAGACAAACACAAAAACCCTCCTTCCACTGGCTGCTAGGATCCAGGACATGAACCATGGCATCAAATGAACAGAAGTGGACAGACTAACAGAAAAACAAATAATGATCTGGCCCCGAATGCTCAGGCTGGATAGAATATAAACCAAAGGAAACAGGTCAGAGGAATAAATGATAATTGAGGAAGGGAAGGAAAACAACAGGTGAAAGAAATAACCAATTAAGGGGGAGCAAACAGGCCAGATCATGACACACGCTGCTCCCCGGGCGCTGCACAATGGCAGCCACTGCTCCCCCAGAGGGATGGGTTAAATGCAGAGTTCATTTCGTTGATCTGTACCTGTGACAGTGCAATGACAATAACAGCTGGCAGAAGAAAAAAAACATTTCTTCCTTTCTCTTTAGACTCTCTAAAACTCTAAATAGCATCAATCGAACTCTTCACCTAAAGAGTGTGATTTGATGTCACGTAAATTCCCCCAAAAAGCGTAGTTTTTACCATAGATTATGAAAACATTTCTCCTCTGCAGGCGGGGGGTACTCCACATACTGATGGATGTTTGGATATGGAATGTGCGCATAACTCCCTGAATGGCTGACAAGGCATTACGATCCAAGAAATGTGTTAAAACTGTTTTTGTTTTATTAGTTATCTGCTGCAGGACGGCCAAACAGCTGTCAGCCGCTGCTTCACTTTCTCACTTCCCTGCAGATCCGTTCTTTGGCTACACGTCCGCCGTACTACGCCTGCTGTAGGATGTTAGGAATACCGAGGATAGGACATTCCTGATTACAGTCACTTGTTTTTCTTCAGAGAAATCCAAACTGTTTAAACTCTACAATAAAAACTACACCCTGTCTGTAATGTATGGGCATCTTAGTGTCTGCAGCTAAGAGGAATGAAATAAGAGTTACCTCAATCATAGGAGATTGTGACTGCTTTCCATTCTGCATTGGTAAGGCTCTGAAGGGAAATCATGTCTGTAACTCTGTAATGCAGACATCTCCTGCACCAGTAAGGCTGCTTTAGAGGTCAGAATGACATATATGGGCCTGTCAGAGCTTTACGTCATCTGTAAGAATAGCCACTCTAGAAACTTAGCTGGAATCATATTTGTGTTCCCCCAAGGAGTTGAGAAGTATGTTATTGTTGTCCGTCTGTATGACTCACCTCTCCAGAATGCTGGAATTGTGCTGGTGTTACAATCCAACCCGAATACCAACAAATCTCCAACATTTGTGTCTTTGATAAAACAAATCTTCACTCCCAAACTGAATAGAGGCAGGCGGCAGAAAACAGATGCTATCTTTGACAATTCAATATTAAAGTGGAAGGTTACATAATCTATACAATAGAAGGAGAATGAGGATAACTTCAGCTTTTCCATACGTGTTTTGAAAAAGGAAAGTTTAAGGGGGTCTTTGTCATGGGGAGCTGTTTCCAAAGGATGAGAAGCTAAAAAAATATTTGGCTTCAGTTCTTCTCCTAAAAGCTCACAGAAGGAAACCAGAGCCTAAGAAGTTCTTTGTAGAAAACATGTGGAGAGCATCACTAAATATTACTTGAAATTCTATTTTGGATTCCGAACACAGACACACTGAAGATGTGAGCCTCTTAGGGGAGAGGCGGCCCAGTGGTTAGGGCATAGAGCTTGGAATACTGAGGTTGTGAGTTCCAAACCCACTCCCACAGACTGCAACTCTGGCTCTATGAGCAAGACCCTTAACCTCTGATTTCTCCCCAGGGGCCGCACAATGGCAGCCCACTGCTCCCCAA